CAATCTTAATAGTTGTCCAAGCCCCCCGCATTTCTTCGAATCAAGATCAACAAACAAGCCTTATAATTTACATTAAGATATAGACGTTAATTTACTCATCATCTGACAGAAAATGACAGATCGTTAGTCATGAGTGAACCTTTACTGTGCCACAGAGCCACTGGCAGCATTGAACATGAGTTCAATTACCTTCTGGCACTTATGAGGGTAGCAACAATCGCCTTTGTCGACACTCAAGACATGGTCACTGTGAACACGCCCCTGTTCAAGATTCTTTCGCACTCATAGGGCGAGCACATTAAACAAGTTCTTTGACTTACAGGTACGCAAAAACTTAACGCTCTACCTGTTCCAAAGAATCCACCAATCAGCAGCCAGCTACAGTAGCTGCAAATGGGTTGTAGCTTCAAGTATATTTAAAGTGGAATTGTGAATAGATGGAGAGAATAACCTGTGGGAATGTGTATTTAATTATAGTACATATTCAACTTGGGCCGAATTAATGTAAAAATATGTGCTACAAAAAACCCTGCTATTAGCATTAATATATCTGTTTTGAACACAAGCTTGAGATATTTTAAATTTGTGATATTTTTACTTTACTCTTATTTTTACTATCGTCATCATTATCATTATCATTCATTTCATTTCATTATCATTTTAGTAATTATCATTATAATTATCATTGGCATTGGCGATGTCATTAGCACTGCCAAAATCATTATCATTATCATTATTATTATTATTATTATTATTATTATTATTATTATTATTATTATTATTATTATTATTATTATTATAATGATTATTATTATTATTATTATTATTATTATTATTATTATTATTATTATTATTATTATAATTATTATTATAATGATTATTATTATTATTATTATTATTATTATTAATACTATCATTCGCATTATCAATTTAATATTATTCTTATTATTACTAATATTATTATTGTTATTATTAATATTAGTATTATTATTATTACTATTCTTATAACATAGTTTCCGTTTGACCCAACTTTACTCAAATATACTGCATCCACATATTGTAATGGAATTCCAATCGGTATCCTTGTTGTTCAATTGCCCCAATCTCTGGATCACTTGGACAACTCATCTGCCGAGGTCTGCATGAATATTTATATTTTCATATTCATAGAAAAATGCAAATATATATGGACAGACAAGCATACGTGTCGCTAAAGGGAAAACGAACACGATGCCCAAAGCCAGAGCCAGAGCCAGAGCTGAACTCTTTAAAATTGCAATCTATCAATTTGTTGTCTTCTGATTGATTGACAGCATTTTATATGGATGCTGCTTTCATGCACATTGTCATCATCAAAATGATGAAGCCAATTAAAGCCCATGGAATGCTAGGGATCAGCGATAAAAACGCTGTCAGCTAATTAAAAATGCACACAATCCGTGTAAAATTTACCGTCAACTAATGGCAAAATCAATAGTGTTCGCAATATACAAAAAAAGCGTAAATAATTAATCATTTAAATAACGAGCAGTCTAACAACAAAAACAACAGCAAATGTGAAACAATGCATAGATAAATGATACGAAATGAATTCAAAATAAAATGTGCATGTGCACGTACATAAATAAACACAGCGAGCAAATAAATAATAAATAATGTTAAACATACACAATTTAGTTAATATAAAACCTAATTAACCAAAAACAGCAACAACAACATGGACGATAACAGTGTGGCTAACAGAGATGAAACGAGGCAGAGCCAAGACCATTTAAAAAGCCATTGAACAAGCCGAACGCCAAAAGAGCCGACACTCTGTGGAGCGGAGATTGCGGCGTCTGGAGAGGGCGATGTGCGCGACCGTCCGACGTTGGCATGAATGAATGAATGTCATGAAGTCAACTAGGACAAAGCATATAACACTCATTTATTAATGTACAATTTCCAACAGAAACAACAACAGCAACAGAGGACCCCCCACCAGCAGCATACAGAGACCGGCTAGAGCGAAAGGCAAGAGAAGAGCATTAAGCTGCTTACCGCGCTCTCATGTTAAATTTACATTGTAATCTCTGCGCTCTCTAATCAACTTGGTGCTCAGCATGGAAATGCATTTTACTATGTAACGCTCTCAGCGGGCAGCGCTCACACTGTGGCTCTCCAACACGAACACACACACACATACACACAGCCACCCACCCATACACACACCAACAGTAATAATGACATTGAAAACACAGCCCCGTGGTCGTCTGTCAACAGAATTCGGGCCACACTGCGCCTGGAACAACTTTGTACAGTGTCTTTGCCAGCGGGTGACTGACTGTTAACAGCAGCAGATGCTGTTGATGGGATGCCGACATTATTGTCGGGGAAGAGAGCGCAACTGGTTAACTACAGCAACTGAGTGTGACATAATGTGAGAGGCGACCGGTTCTTTAGCAGCAGCACACTGCTGTTATTTCAACTGGCATGCCGCTCTTTGCATCGGCATCCCTGTTCAATTGGAACTGGTTTTCGATTTGGATGCAGTTGTCGCCTCGCTGGGCTGCTGTTTGCGGTTAACGCCGGAATGTTGCCAGGACATTGCTGAGGCTTCCACATATTCGACTTGAATATCTGTTTTGCAGATTGATGTCGAGGCATATTATTGCACTTATGCACAGTGAAGGATTCTTAATGCGTTTTATGTTGCTGGGGTATTAAATACCAGTTTTTAATTGATTCTATGTGTAGGCTTCCTATACCCTATACATATAAATTTTAAATGAAAACGGGTATATTCAACACGGAGACAGAAATTATTTTACATATAATTTTCTGTAGATCTGCCCAGTTGGTATATAAATCTTGGCCTACAGTTATTTTCGATAGACTTAAAGGTTTTCCTTAAATTCATATAGATTTGCCTGCAATCTATCACTGAATTTAGCAATTTTTTATGAGCTTATGTGTAACCAATTTTTAGACATTTTTGGTTTTATTTATTTTTACATTTTTTAAATTAATTTTTTTTTAACAAATTTTTTATGTTAGCCGTTTGCTTAACATTTCTGTTGCAGAGCAACCGAACTGAGTCCCACTGCAAGTGCTTGCCATCAATTTAAATGTTAATGGCTAGTTCGGGTTTGCAATGTAAAAGCGGCTGCTGCTGTTAATGTCAGACAAATGGGTCGTTTTACGTTCAACACTGCCATGAATTTGAAATGTTAATGAGCCGTTGGGTGCGCGCGCCCCATGTTTGTGCGCCTTAACAGACTGCTAAAAGCAAAGGCTGCAGTTTATGGAGATGTGCCGCCTGTGCCTGTGACTGGGCAGATGTATGGCCTTTGGGATGTGCTTGTTTATTTGTGGTTTGACGAGGACTCAAGCGGCCAATCATGTGCAAAAATAGAGTTAAGTGTTTTGTCAAGAAAGGGGTTAATGCTGCACTTAAGAGTTTTTGCATTAAACGCCTTAACTTGTATAGGCTTGCGACTATTTATCATCAAAATTATGCGTTGAAAGTTTCTTGTCATTTCTTATTTCAAATATATACATAATTATCTAATTGCCCATACGCAAAAGCAGCAAAGTCATTGACATTGACGAAGGAAAAACAAATATAAATTCTAGTCTGTCGTTGAATATTGTCGGTGTTTAATGTACGTTCATTTGCATTATTTTTACCGGAAAATGTATTTATTTTGTCATAATTAGCATACGTGCCTGGCATTTGAACTTTAAATGCCAGCCCAACAGCACTCTGTTACACATTAACAGCTGCTGTTAAGAGTTAACCATCTGGCAATGTTTTTGATATGCCGCAAATGCACCTGCTACGCTGCTGTTGTAGCCCACAACAGGGCACTGTTAAAGCATACAATTTTACGCACCTACATAATTTAACAGTTCGCTGTTCTGCTAGTGCTAAAATTGTTTCATCCACACCGCTCTCAGCGGCTCACTGCGTTTATATGTAGTGTTGTTGCCACTGTAAGTGCTTAAGTAAAAGGAAATTGAATTATGTAAACGATAAGCGCTGCTTAACAGCGTCACTCTCAGTTATATTCTCTCACGCTCAGCTGTGACGCTTGCGCTCTTTGCAAAACAAACCCCCTCCTGCTGCACTGCTGCCGCTCGCCGGCTAGAGTGTTGTAAACAAAAGTTGATTTTTTTCTATGCTCCGCTCTCTGTTTGTTGCGCGCGCTCTTGTAGCTATGCTGCCGCTCTCTCATTCTCTTTGACGCTGCTGCTGAGGTGACCCAACCAGGTGCTGCTCTGCTGAAAGCGAATTCAGTTACTTCCGAAGTTTCAAAGCGAGCGGTTCACGCGTCGGACGGCGATTAATTCAACAACAGCAAACTCGTCGAGCTAAGCAAAAGCAGCAAAAAATAACGAAAAACTAAACTGCTCTCCAGCATAGATTGACATGTTACTGTGCTATACCATTGAGATCCCTAAATCGTACTGAATTTGGCAAACTATGTAAATATATGAAGTAAAAATAAAACGTTTGAATTAAATAATTGCGGTTTCATATGCAAATCCGTTTAACAACAAAGCGCGCGACTGCAGTTCGAAAATCAATTCGAAATTAAATCAAAACACATACCAGCCAAAAATCTCGTTACTGCGACGAGCATTTCGGACATTAACCGTTACGCTTACGCGGCCTGTACTCGCCTGTAGGTGTGCGTCTCTCTGTGTGCGTGCGTGTGTGTGTGGCATTCAGTGCGCGCATTTCTGTGCTCGTTTATGTGTGTGTGTGTGTGTTATGACAGAGAGTTGACAATAGGCAAATAGGCAAATCATATGCCGCCCACGTAATGTGTGACGAAATTTAAATTCGCCATCTATGCAAATACAATTGCACAAATCGTATACGTGTGTGCCGTACAGAGTGTTTGTGCGCGTGTGTGTGTGTGGATATTCATGTGGATTACCATAAACATAAACAAAGGATTAGAAAGAAACAACAACAACAACAGCAGCAGCAGCAGAAGCAGCGGCCGTCGTAGGGTGAAAGATAAACCCACAGAAGCATTTTTGGGATTACAGCAGCCGCAGTAGAAGAAGAAGCAGCCGCAGAGGAAGAAGAAGTGGGAAGAAGAAGGGGGCTTCGCTTAGAAAATATCACAACATTGCAGTCAGGTGCCTCACAGGTGAGTTTTCGACCCACACTCTTAAATGATGTATTACCTATGCTGCTATGTGCATGTTGCACTTGCGGTTTGCTTTGTATCTGTGTCGGTGTGTGTGTTTGTGTGTGTGTGGCATGTTAAGTGCAATCCATTATGGGGATACATATATCTCCTCTCTTTCTTTGTGTGTGTGTGTGCAACTTTGTTGCTGTAAGTTTGGCAGGCAGAAGACTTGTCTCAGTTTTGGGCGCAAAGCAAAAAAAAAGGGAAATGAAATAAATAAATAACCCATCCATGTGTCAATAAGGATTGCCCTCAATCAGTCTGCCGTTTTGCATGTCAAGTTAAAAGATCTATGCACCGAATACAAGACACCCTTTTAGATGAAAGGCTCGAAGTAGTGAACTTCAAAGTCCTTAGAATAGTTGTGATTCGTCCTGTTCTGGAAAAAACCTTGTCTATGAAAATGCGTTGCATATTGCATATGGAATCGAACTACCCTTTGGCAAGTGCACATATTTGTTTCATATAAAACTCGTTCAACTGCAGCAAAAACCCAAAAAATGTAAATTTAAAAAATGTGCAGAATAATAAAAAAAAAATATGTATAGCAAGGGAAATTCCCGCAGGTGCAACAATAGATGCAAAAGTTTTTCCCACGTTAAAAGTTGCACATTTTCAGTGCGAAAAATAAAGAAAAACTTTTGTTAAGAATATGCATAAAGCATAAAGCGAATAAGAGATGAGCGCACGTAAAAACTAATTGAACAATTTTCGGTATCATTTTTGGCTAACCCAATTTTATTTTTATTTTATTTTTTTTTTTTGATAGTTGAGAACAAAAGTGAATGCCACAAGTTTTCCAGCCAAACGAAAGTTTTTCGACAATGTAAGAGTAAAAGCGGAAAAAAGCTAACTACGATTTCTGCATAGATTATTATTAAAGGGAAATTGCAAAAACTTGTGCGAGTTTCTTAAAAAAATGTAATTCTCGCTTTGTCGATTTTGTTTTATTATCTATAAATGGAGGTATAGGAGAGATGGAGACTTGGGCAGATAAACTATATAGAGGCAAATAATTATTTTATTGACAATTTTACACATCGCAATTCTGATTCCCATCAAGAAATTGCTGGAGGGGGGCGGGGGGTTGCATTGTAGTGAAATATAAGCATTGAGTTATTATAATGTATATTTAAATGGCAATTAGTATAATAATGTATACGATTAATTACATTTTGGTTATTTTAAAAAGTAAATTAAAACGTGAGAGTTTCCCAGTCGGGTATCAACGACTGCTTAATACAGTATAAAAGGAAAATAAGCTATAGAAAGCAATAACGAGAAAAAACATGTCTAAAAGATTTTTCTTAATATTAAACAATCAATCACAAATCATTATTAGCAATCTTTTTTACACTTTATCCCAAGAAAGTAGAGATTGGAATATAACAGCAGGTCGGCAAAGTTTTTTTAAAACTAACTAATATGCTCTTCTTCACAGTATGAGCACAGTATAAAAATCAATTTTAAATTAATAATTTAGACTATATATATGGTTTTTCTCTACGGAATGAACACACTATCCACTGCAAATTCTTATTTATTTTTGTTTTTTCGACTATTTCTCATTCCATTAGAAATGAGCGTAACCCAAATGCAGTTTTTCATTTGCTTGCCACATAGAATATAATCCTCTTATGCTCTTCATGTTTTAATCAGTTCATTGTCACAATGATTGATGTAGGTCGTGAATGAACAGACTTTCGGGTGTTCAGATGTGGGCAAGTCTAGACTCTGCTGCATATGAGCCCATTATTGATTTGAGTGCGGCCAGTTGGGCAAACCCTTAGCCTTCGCTTGTTCAATGTTATGAAAACGCTTCAAAATGCAATCCGCTGCAATTTTGAGTGCATTCATTTTGCTTTCTGGCAACTTTTTTAATTACTCATACAGACTTTTTGTACCATTATTATTATTATTATTATTATTATTATTATTATTATTATTATTTTGTTTTGTAAATATTGAAAAATCGCCGATGCTGCTGCTGCTGCTGCTGTTCATGGGCAACGCTTGTCATAAATATTTTAGCGGCTACGAACCACACATCCACACTCCAACACACACAGCAACAGCAGCAACAGCAGCAGCAGGATCTGTAAAAAATATTCAAAAATAAAAGCGCCCATAAAATTGGCGGAAACCGAACGAGAGGCCCAGGCAGAAATCCCTTTTTATTATCCCAAGCCTAACCAAAAGGATAAAAAGCATGTAGCCATGCTCTAGTCAACATTGCAGCAGCAGATAGAATAGAGCATATCCTGTACTAAAGAGAAATACTTACAGGATAATGCCCAATCAAGGCTTGATCATTTCAACTCAACTGGAATAATGTAGATAAGTTTCTTTCTGGCGCCTCTATAATAAAGATATAGCTTTACAAAGAAGACACATTTGTTATAAGATTTAGACAAGAACTAAGATTGCCGCAGATAGAATAGAGCATATCCTGTACGAGAGAGAATATGTAAAAAGATGTTTGAACTAATTTTATGCCAAATTAAGGCTTTATGGCTGGGACTGAGTTCGAAAAGTGTTACGAAGGCAACTTTAATGAAGTTATAACTGAATTCGCATTTCTTATAAGATTTAGAAAAGAAGCAAGAACCTAGAACAGAACAGAAAGGGGCATACGACAAGGAGTATTCCAAGCAAATAAGCAACTCTTGACATTTGCCGTGATATGCTTATCGAATGGGGGCTACTTTTAATGCCCGACGGCTTAACATTGATTAAATCAAGTAATTAGTATTATTGTTTTAATTAGTTTAAAATAACTTATGACTGTTGAAAAAGAGATTTAACTTCAATAATTAACAGGTTAACAGACTGCTTGATGTGCTCCTTTGCAAAATTTCTTAATTAAAAGGAATTATTTATTAGATTAAACAAACACAACGAGAGCAAAGGGTTTGCTTAACTCGCATTCTTCTCATAATGCTCGAATACAAATTTGAATGGAAAATAAAGGTGTTAATTATTAAAAAAATTACATCAGGTAACATTTTTGATGAACTTCAGATTAAGAGAAGAAGGCAAGCAAGAAAGCATATTACTATTAATTTATTTGTCAAATTTTATTTGATTTGATTTATTTTCAAAATCAATATACTCAAGCACAAGGCACCTGTACAGGGTATTGGCGAACAAAATCAAATAAAATATAAAGCAGCCATTTTATTTTTCGGCAACAATTTTTGTCGCCATCGTTGTCTTTGCTGTGGTTCTGTATGTGTGTGTGTGGGTGTAAATGTATCTGTGTGAGTTGCAGTAAATAAATATACGCGTATCTGATGGGGATTTATGGCGAAGCGGCGCGTTGGGCCGCGGCAATGCATTTGTTGTTGTTGTTCGTTTTGTATCTTTTGCGGAGGGCCTAGGACTTGAATAAATGATAGATTGAAATTTATATAGCCAAAGCCGCCAGCTTTGGCCGTGCCAAGCGCGCCAATTGCACATTTTTAGACAATTTTCGACCTAAAAATGTGCTTTGATTTGGTTTAGTTTGGCTTTTTTTTTATTATTTTTTGGGCCAGGTTAAGTGTGCGTGAGTGAGAGCCAGAGAAAGGGCGAGATTTATGCAATTGTTGGCATAACTATAAATTGTCTAGGTAACAAAATGTATCTATATTATGTGTGTGGCATTTATTTTAGTTGAAATATATACCCTTACCGAAAGTTATGAAATATGCGCGACAAACTTGTTCTCAAATCTATTTTCATTTAATTTATTTGTTGTTTTTACACTCTGAGCAAATGCTGTAAATACTTGGGTTACGCAGCAAATTCTTTTTATTGAAAAGACTTTCTTTTTAAAGGAAATATTCAATTTAATCGTGTATCTTAGGCAAATGTTGTTGGTTGTTAAGGCATTGATTCTTGTTGAAAAACCTTTAGATTTGACTATTTGTAAAATCTGTGAATGTATTTTGGGAACAGACGTAGCCGTGAGACATGTTGCAGCCGTACCTTTTCCATACTTAACTCAATTCAAAGAACTCGCAACAAGAAAACTTAACTTATTTGGACAAATAAATATAAATAGAAATAAATAAATTTATAATAAATTGATGTTTTCTATTGAAAAGGTCCAGACACTTGTTATACATAACATCATCATATGCTGTCTATAGAATTTGTGCCATGTTGAATGCTTTAGATATTTTGTAATGGCATTTGGTTAAAAATTTAATTCATAAAATTTACAATAATTTGTAATGTTTGGCTCTTGTTGATTGCGCGCATAATTTGCATATTTATAAATCACTTTAAGCGCACGCTCACACTCTGTGACTGGCATTGTATTGCTTACATTGCATTTTATTTGTCCATTACATAGTTTTGGAAAATTGTTTAATTATTAATTTTTGCGATTTGCTTTGCGCCAACGCCGGCGGCTTTTGGCTAAAACTCAAACCAAATAAAACATCAGCTCATACAATAGCAAAAGTTCAATAAGAGCTAAGCAAAACAAAGCGGAGAGGGAGTTGGGTAGAAATATAAAATTAAAACATACAGAGTTTGTTTTCTAATAATTAAATTTGCCAACGGTCTGCCTAAGCTCAATGCAGTTTGTATGAGCCAATTGGACAAAACTGGAAAAACTGCAACTTAAATACAATAAAATTGTTGTGCATGCAGATTGAAAATTGATTTTGCTCCTCTTTTGTTTCTAAACTGAATGCCAAACAAATCCCAAGCTGAAATTTATGTTTATTGCAATGAAAATAAAAATCGTTAGAGCGAAAAGTAACAACAGCAATGCGCACCTGTACATTGTTAGCGTGCCTAACAGGTGCAAACGGACATACTGGGCCACATATCAATGAAGCTGGCAGTGTATGTAAATATTAGCATTCGATTGAAGATATTATAACTGCCAAATGATCCAAGTTGTAGTTGGGTCTGAAAATGAAAAACACAAACAAAAGCTGAAGAGAAATATTTATGTGCCATGC